CGTCCGGCTGCGGGCGCCGAGGGCCGCGGCCCACCGCCCAGCCCCGCTGAGGGTCACCCAGGCCGCTGCCCTCCGTCCCCTGAGGGCGAACCTGGGCTGAGGTCCGGCCCGGAGCAGGCCGGTGGGTTGGACACGCTGCTGGGCGAACCCACGAGCGAGCTGCTTGAGAAGTTTGCGAGGGAGCTGAAGGGCGCGTGGGGCCTGGGAAGTAATGGCGATGCGAGCGCTGGGGAGCTCTCGCTGGGGCCTGTGCTGGAGAAGAGAAGGCGAGCTGATTTACACAGTGCCGTTAGGCAGAAATTCCCCTTTCTAGTCACTGTTACAAAAGGCAACGAAATGATTGTAAGAGGAAACGCCGATTACAGAGAACTTTGTCAGTTAGTGACTGAAAAGGAAACAAGTGATTTCTTTAAGTTTTTAGATGCAAAGCTAGAAAATTCTACATTTTCTTTTGAGCCTGATGCAAACAAAGAGCACAGAAAAGTAGTTCACCACTTTATCAATAGAAAATTTGGAAAACTTTTAGAAACAAAATCTTTTACTGGGACAGATGTCAATGATCAGCCAAATATGTCAATAATGGTACGATTTCGAGAAAAACGTTGGTCCAGAAAAAGGTCTGCTGGTGGTTTCCAGGAAAAACAAGATCTTTATACAGGTAAATACTACATTTTTAGTGAAAGTGTCAGGTATTACAGTGTTCTTTAGTAAGAGTGAGACTTGGAATCATTTTTATGTGATGTGTAGGCCTGGTTGACCCATTGTTTGTGCTGAAATAAATCATCATTAATGCAGTGTAGTTACGTCACTGGAGAATGAGATGGTGAATCAGGTTACTGCAGGGATTTTACACAAACCGTTCAGTGATAACGGGTACAGTTCTTTTGGTTGTAGCACTAACTCTGTGTTATTCCGTGTCTTCTAGCCTTCCCTTGAAAGTAACTGTGGGGTTTTAGAACATGCATGTAGATGTTGGACAAGTTAGCAAGGTCAAATTTGATTTATGATCTCATTCTTTAAAGCAGTTGGTTTCTGATATAGAGTATGTTTCTAGGAATAAGTCAATAGGTGTTCATTGAATTGTGTTGCATTTTATCAAGTACTATTTTTAAAGGCAGCAGGGGTTTCTTTTTGTTCCAAGAGTTTTGTTTACTGTGCCTTTATTTTTCTCTTTCAATACTGCAGAAGTCCCATTTCCTTTCGTCTTGGTGGGTGGGAGGACTGTTTCTTTGCAGCTTCCATGCTACTATAGTTTGAAGGGAAGAACCTGCCCATCTGCCATGGCAGAACATCTGTATGATTTAGAAGTGCAAATTCCTAATAATTCTGAGATGATTGTTTCAGCTTTCACCCTTCAGAAGGAAAATCTAGAGACATTAGAGGCAATTGGCTTCTTGGCTGCTGAACTTGGTGTTCTTCCTTCGGACTTCAGTTACACTGGCATCAAAGACAAGAAGGCTATTACTTACCAACCCATGGTTGTGAAGAAGGTGACTCCTGAGAGGTACTAACAAGCTGGGTGCATTAGCTTTAGCACATATTTGTGTATATATATTAATAAGCGTCAACGTGGTACGATCTTCTGAAATGTTCTCATTGCTGTGTGTTCCCTTCTCCTGTATTAGAATACAGTGGAAACGGCTTTAATATTTTCATAGAATCATAGAATCATAGAAAGTTTTGGGTTGGAAGGGACCCTTAGAGGTCATCTAGTCCAACCCCCCCGCAGCGAGCAGGGACACCACTAACTAGGTCAGGTTGCTCAGAGCCCTGTCCAACTTGGTCTTGAATGTTTCCAGGGGTGGGGTCTCCACTACCTCTCTGGGCAACCCGTTCCAGTGTTTCACCACCCTCATTGTAAAGAATTTCTTCCTTATATCCAGCCTAAATTGTGGATATATATCCAGCCTATTTGTGGCTTTAGGGAATATACAGCTTAGCGTTGAAGTCCCCCAGTGTTTGAATTTAAAGAAAAGTCTCACCTTTCTCTGTATTGTTCATAATATGAACATGCCAGATTTTCTGGGACAGTATCCTTCCAAATCATGCTCATGGGATCCACTTTACAATTTTTTAAATACCATCCACTAGATGGAACCGAGAAGAAGCCCATACTACAGGATGCAACAGGTTTCCACGTACTGTCAAAGTATTGTCTTGCGGTCTACAGACAACAACTTAAAAGCTTTGCACGGCTACAAAACTAAAGTAAATCATTACAAATGTACTTTGGACAGATGCTGTCTTAGAGTGTTAAGTAGCAACTTCTATTACATTGTCTAGTTTAGAAACATGAGACTAAATAAAGAAGGTATCGCCAAACCTGAGTAACAGTCAAAACTATAATTTATTTCTTCCCCAGCTTTAACTTTATGGTGCTTTTTGGTCTTGGCAACAAAGTACACTTTGCAAATAAAGGAAAGTAGAATTTGGTTTTTAACAAAAAAATATATTAATAGTAAAATTCCACTGCAAACTGGGCTGTAAGGCCAGTTGTTCAAAAGATAATTAGCAAAACTTTACAGTAATGCTTAAATGATTAAGCAAAGTATTTAAATACTTCCAAGCCACTAGCATGACAGGGAAAGTAAATAATTTTTATAAATAAATAATTTGTAAAGTCATTAAAATATTGCTTAGAATGTAAGCTCTTATGCTGAAAGTTTCCTTTGATTTGAATGACTAGTACTTACACATAAGAACAAAGAGATTGAGTGGATACTTTAAAGGGCAAATACTTGAACTGTCAGCTGTGTTTCCAATTACAAGCATATGCAGGCATACCCAGAGAATCAGTGCAGAGTTTGTTTTTGTTAAGACTGACCAAGAAAGAGCAATTGTGTTTTGGAGTCTGCTAGAGCAAATTTTTTTTTTTTTTTTTTTTTTTAATGAAAAGCAGATTTTTAGGACTGAAGAGTAAATTACTTGGTTTTTTTTTTTTTTTTTAAAAAAAGCAAAATTCAGTTGCCTTGAGAAAGATCAACGAATTTCTTCATTCTAATATCTGTCGGGCTATAGAATATAAGTGCAAATAAGGCAAACATTTAGAAAGTATTTCTGGACTACAAGTAAATTTTAAGACTTCCATCTCTGCATTTGTTTTGGTTTTCTCATAATAATTTGTTTTAAATCTCTTTTTATTTTTTTATGTGTTCTAATTATAGCACAAAGGTGAAGAAGACAAGTACTAGAAGTTGGATAGCTTTAGTAGAGGATGGTTCATAATTTCTCCAAATTATTTATGCAGGTTGAAAGAAATTGGAAGCAAAATGGAAAAAAAGGGCATGAGAATACACAACATACGTTCAGCATGCCAGCACCTTAGACTTGGTCAGCTGAAGGGCAATCACTTTAATATAGTTGTGAGAGATCTCAAACGCCACAGTCATGACTCTTCGGCAGATTTGAAAGAGAGAATATCTGAAGCAATGGAAAATGTTGAGGTAAAAAAAGACTCATAGAATCATAGAATGGTTTGAGTTGGAAGGGAACTTATAGGTCATCTTGTTCCAACCACCTTGCCATGGGGAGGGACACCTTCCACTAGACCAGGTTGCTCAGAGCCCCATCCAACCTGGTCTTGAACACTTCCAGGGAGTGGTAATCCACAACTTCTCTGGGCAACCTGTTCCAGTGCCTCACCACCCTGACAGTAAAGAATTTCTTTCTTCTGCCTGATCTAAACCTACCCTCTTTCAGTTTAAAGCCATTCCCCCTTGTCCTATGACTGCATGCCCTTGTGAAAAGTGCCCCTGCAGCTTTCTTGTAGGCCACCTTTATCTACTGGAAGGCTGCTATAAGGTCTCCCCAGAGCCTTCTCTTCTCTGGGCTGAACAAGCTCAACTCTCTCAGCTTGTCCTCATCGGAGGGGTGTTCCATTTCCTCTGACTGTTTTTGTGGCCCTCCTCTGGACCTGATTCCACAGGTCCATGTCTTTCCTGTGCTGAGGGCTCCAAAGCTGGACACGGGACTCTCACCAGAGTGAGTAGGGGGGCAGAATTACCTCCCTCGACCTGCTGGCCACACTTCTCTTCATGTAGCCCAGGATATGGTTGGCTTTCTGGGCTGCGAGTGTACACTGCTGGGTCATGTTGAGTTTTTCATCAACCGGCAGCACCGCCAACTCCTTCTCATCAGGCTTGCTCTCAATCCATTCTCCTCCAAGCCTGTATTTGTGCTTGGGATTGCCCTGACCCCTGTGCAGGACCTTGCACTTGGGCTTGCTGAACTTCATGAGGTTCGCACGGGCTCGTGGTTGCAAATAATCAGCAGAGTTTTAGTTCTGTGCTGTAAAAAAAAAAAGTTCTTTTAAAGAAAATGCTTGTAATAGCGCAATAATGGCACCATTTCCCAGTTTTGATACTTTTTGCTATATTAGCATGAAAGAATATAGTTGCACATATCAACTGGTTGTCTTTTTCGTCGTGTGACAAAAAGGTATGGTTGGCTCATGTGAAAAACTCTGTACTTTCATAGCATAAATACATGTGAAATGTCTGTAGCAGAGAAAGAAGATCCCCTGAAATTCAGTAGATTTTGATAGCTGTTATCCTTAATCCCTGAAGAAAACCCGGTCATCAGACATTCTTAAATCACTGAGGAAAGTAAAAGCATATCATGGAAAAGAAAGACTTCAGGTGTTTTGTACAGCAGTAATTTTCTTGCCCTATCTTGCTAAGTAATAACCATAATGCAAATTACTTTAAGAAGATTAATCCAGGAATAAAGACTTGAATGAAAACTATCCAGTGTGCAAAAGCAAGATACATTACGTGTATTTTGGAAATTATCTTTATTATTGAATAAAGCGTTCAACTCATACTTAAATGTTTTTTCTCTCTCTCTGCTTTGCCTGACTTTTTTTTGGTTTACTGTTTGGAAAATGAACACTAATTCCTATGACTGTGTGTCTTGCTTTATTAGATTTAGCTTACTGGTCAGATGATGAATGACAAAACCAGAATTTGTGTTAATCCAAAATACGTATTTTCCATCTTCCATGAAAACAAAATCATGTATGGGACCTAAGGATGTCTGAAGCAAGGTTATATAATTTGAACTGAATAAGCATTTCCAAAACAAATACCGTATGTTTTTTGCTTGCATACTTATTATTTTCTAGAAAAGGATGTTCTTACTGGGTCACAGGGCTGTGATTTTACTGCCCACGTGTGACCTAGAACTCATCAGGAGACTTAAAATCCCAATTAGCAGAAGTGCTCACTCTTGGTATTACTATTGTAATAATAATACAAATGATCTCATGTGAAAAATGATTAGTATTTTTAAGAAAAAATATCCAACAGTAGTTACTGTTCATTACCTGTGCTATGCCACTTTTGTTTGAGTAGAGATTTCATAATTTGGCACATATAAAAAGCTCGATTGCTTTGACTTGACCTGTAGTTGTATTTATAATAATTAATTATATTGACATAATTTTGTTTCATTTGCCTATTTTTTTATGGAAGTGAAGACAATGGTAGGACTTGGTTGTCTTTTTAGATGTTTCTAAATTAGGTGCTAAAATACTGTAACGAATCATAAGTTACTGTTTTGTCTTGTATTATTTCTGATTAAAAAACCACTTTGTATGCATTTTGGATGTAAATGTAGATGTACATGTGTTGTATGCTTAGTCTTACTAATTGTACCTGATACTTTCATGCTTTTAACACATTTATTCTTTATCGTTCTAGACAAAAGGCTTTGTAAATTACTACGGACCTCAGCGATTTGGACAAGGACAAAATGTTCAGACAGATCAAATAGGATTGGCTTTACTGAATGAAGAAATGGTATTTTCATTTTGTAATTTAAGTAGTTACTGTCAAGTTAATTTCACATTACCGTTGCAATGTCTAGCACTGGAGTTGACCTTCCCAGTGAACAATTTCATTTGTGAGATAAACCCATATGTGTGCTGGACGTAATTGCCAGATCAGTTTTGACAGCAACATCAGAATGAAGATTTTCAAACTGAAACAAGAAACATTTCTTAAACACCAGGTGCAGCTTTAAATAGTTCAAGAAGTGATTTTTATGTCTGTGGTTGGTATGTGATTGTGATCGTTGTCATGCCACTTGGCAGTAAAGTGGCTGCATTCCATACAAGGTTTGAACACTAAAATGAAGCAATCTTTATACAATGTTTATCCATGGTCCTGATTGCCTCCTAACCTGTAGCCTCTTTACCCTGCTGGGGGTCTATATACTTCTTAAAAATGTCACAGGATATTACATAGGATTGTATGAAAGGATTTGCTTTTTCAATACCACAGTAATTTATCTGCCAAATAGAAGAGATTGCTGCTTTCCATTATTCCTTGGCTACTTTCCCAAGCTCTTGGTTCTGAGCGATTGCTCCCATGTAAGATAAGGAGAGCTTATTTCTTAAGTAATAATTCATAAGATGAGTCATGTACTTTTCAATGTTTATAGTATAGTACTTGGCACAAGTCTAACACAGAATCAGACACTACGAAGTCAAATGAGTACTTGAGTATCCTTTGCTTCTGATCTTGTTTGGATTCTGAGAAAAGTCAGGAAAACTTACGCTTCAAATATAAGAAGAATCAAGATTTGGGGGCAGCCCATAAAAGTTACTGTTGATGTATCTGACATTTTGAATTCTGGTATGCTGCCAGGCGCCAGTCCCTGAAGAGTAATGATTTAAATCTCTAGTCTTAACTCAGGTACTTTTTGATTTAAATCATGTAGGAACTACTATTTATATTAAAAATGTGCTAGTATATGCTTGCACAGTCCAACATAGAGGAGGACAAGAACCAGATGACACAGGTTGGTATAAGCGCTAGCAAATTGTGTGGCTCTGCTGATGCTGAAGGAGCAGAGGTTAGTGTAGTGTTTTCCCTGTCACAGTGTCATCTAAAGTAATACAAATCAGTAGGAAAAAAAAAAAAGATTGTTGTCCCTCTTTGTGAGACTGTGGAAGGTGTTGAATCTAAATTTTGCATGAAACATGCAAAAGGGAGAGAAGGAACCTTCCTGCTCAGGATAGAATGATGGCATTACAAAGTGGAGGAGTTGTAACTGGATGTTCGAGACGAGTGACTGATTTCTCATAGAGCTTTGAAAGCTGTCTTGTGTCTTCTTTGTGACTAAACCCTTTAATCTGAGAAGGAACACAACCACATTGGTTTACTGTTCGTGGCATCTTCTGTGAAAGGGAGAATTTGACTTTGACCTTAAAGAGCTGGTATAATTTTGAGAATTGGATGCATGATTTTGTGTGTAGTTGACAAATAGTTATATTTAAATGCAAAAAAAAAAAGTTATTAACATTGTTCTTTAAAGGTGAAAGCTGTGAAGTTATTCTTCACACCCGAAGATACTGATGACCCTGTAAACAACGCAAAAAGATACTTTCTTCGAACTGGTATGTCCAGTTAAATTGTCTATATATTTATTCAGGGTTGGTATTATGAGGGATTAAGGTGTTGTCACAGAGAGAGATACTTTTTCTTTTGCTGTTGCTTTATACCACTTCATAACTTATTCTGCAGAACTCAGTGGAGTTGCACAGTTTAAAATTAGGTGAAGATGAGGCCCTAAATGTGAAAAATAATGTAACACTAATGTACTTCAGGTGCAAGACAGTGTAGAAACAAACGCTGTATAGCATAATACTGGAAGGGACTAAGATAATTTTATCAAAGCAGTTGTAGCCTCCTTCCATCTGTCTACTTTTGGAATAGAAACTTCTCCTCCCTAATAAAGGAAGTATACAGGAATACCCAGCTTGTAGTTAGCACTTACCAGGTGTGGGCATCTAATTTTCTGAGATTTCTGTAACAACCTTAGCTCTTGCTTTTTGCATCTTTAGGCTTTGCTTTTACATCTCTTTAATTATGTATCTCTTCCATGCTTTCCTGTGATCTGCCTTCTTTCTCTCTTGAACTCATATCAACAAACTATGTCAAAGGCAGAAGTGTGCTGAGTAAAATGCTCTGTTTGTCACATTTATTGTTTTTATCATTCAGCTTAACTTCTCTCCAAATCTTAAAATTTGGAGTTGCTCTTGACTTCAGATATATTTGTTCTTTTCAAATATCCCATATCTATTAGCCTGCTTATCACTCTAGATTGACAGAACAATTACGATATTTAGCTTCAAGAGACACATACATTTGATTTCACAAAAATGGTACGGTGAATCATTCTGTGCTATGCATTGCTGTGTGATGCATGGAAAGGCATTGATGCGGACTCTGAAAACAGCTGCTTGCCTCTTCCTGAAAGGGAAAGGTAAAAGGCTATGCAAAAGGCTTCATCAGATAATCACTTGTAATAAGAAAACATGTAAACCATAACATTTTAAATATACAACATTTATATAATGCAGTACAAATTTGATTAAATGTATTTTCAACTTGGTTGAGGGTCAGACTTCCAGTGGCCAATGCAAACTGTATCTTTAAAATAAATGCATATATTTTAATCCCTATGAAATACACATTCATGAATGATGTAGAGGTTTAATATTCTTTTATAGCTTGTCTTTTATTTTCAGTTACCTGATCTCAAAAAAAACTTTGGAGTGATGAAGTACGTTTCTGAAAAAAAAAGTAATGCAAACTAGGCTGAGTAACTGAATGACAGCTAGTTTAGTTTATACTGCATGAAATAGAACAGAATTCATGGGACTGTGTTGATAGGCATCTAAGATGGAATTTGTCTAACATGACACATTGAAAGAAAGTGAATAATAACCTAAAAGTCAGCCTAAAGAGGTTAGGTTGACACCATTTTCCCCTACCTGATTATTTCTTAAGTGTATTTTTCCCTGACAGATAATACGTGAAAAATCAAGGATTATTTATATGGTTATTTTTGTTTATGTCAGAAGATGCAAAGGGTGCACTCATGATGCTGCCGGAATTTAAAGTGAGAGAGAAGATGTTGCTGCGAGCTTTACATCGCTATGGTGTAAATCATGAGGGTTGTACCAAAGGATGGCTCAATATTCCTCATTCCATGCGCATATTCTATGTCCATGCTTATTGCAGTAAAATTTGGAATGAAGCAGCATCATATAGGCTGAAGATTTATGGTTCAAAAGTTGTTGAGGGCGATCTTGTCTTCTCAGAAGAAAATGGTGAAAGCGTTTCCCTGAATGACAAGGTGAGTCTTTACAAAACAGCTCTTGTAAAAAAAAAAAAGAAGAAAATAGCTTAATGCACTTGAATACATACTCTAATGCTTTTATTTTGGTTCATTCATTGAAATATTTAATATTAGTGACAAAGGTGAAAAAAGTGATGTAGCTTTTCTTGATTTACCATAAATAGGCATATAAGGTAGGAGTATAGTAGTAGCTTTTGTCTGTTATGACTGCTCATTTTATTGAAGTGAGAAGAAGGAATGGAATGTTGAATTGATACATGTAAGAATTTAGCCTACATGGTATATAATGCTCTTCTTAGGATCTGACTGGGGAAAACCTTGAGAGTGGACTCTGGGTGTGATTATATTATCAGTCAGTGCAGATCTGTCTTGCTCTCCAGGTCAGACCTTCCCATTAGAGATACCTTCATGAATGTAAGCCCATGGTGAAAGCTGAGCTCAGACTGAACTGGTAATCTCATTGCAGCTACACAGTCAAAGCATGTGTAGCACAATTTCACTTACACAGGCAATTAAAACAGATTCACAGTGGGTGTAAACTGCTAGCAGCTGTTCAAAAACTGCAGCAGTCTTCTTGGAAAAGTAGTAAAGGGCAAGAGAGTGCTTCTGCTTGCCCACAGCACAGCCTGGGTGCTGTGAATGGAGCCATGAGTGAGCCAAGGAGCAGAAGCCAGCAGCAGAGTGTGTGCTGGTCCCAGGTCTTGGTGTGCTGAGGTCCATTCTGAAGCCATCTCTTCTTTCAGGGTTTGCATACCTTCTTCTTATTGTGGAAGCAGTTGTGTCTCTTCTCCCAAGTAGCAAGTGATAGGACAAGAGGAAATGGCACCAGGGCAGATTTAGATTGGATGTTAGGAAAAATTTCTTCACTGAAAGGGTTGTTAAGCACTGGAACAGGCTGCCCAGGGCAGTGGTTGAGTCACTGTCCCTGGAGGTATTTAAAAGATGTGCAGACGTGGCACTTAGGAACATGGTTTAGTGGTGGACTTGGCAGTGTTAGGTTTATAGCTGGATTCAATAATCTTAAGAGTCTTTTCCAACCTAAATGATTCTATGATTCTGTCTTTCTCTTAATCGTCAGATAAGGCATAGAATTTTGCAGTGTTTTCCTGGGTAATAAACAGATGTGTGCATAGGCAGAATGTATCTGATTTCTTTTGGGTGAACATACCACAATCTGAAAGTGAGAGCACTTGTAAGGTTACTGAATAACTTCCAGTCTCTGAAGAGCGGCTTCTGTTTCCATTGTGATTTTTCTTCAACAATATTTCTTGAGAGTGAATGTTAATAAAACAAGTAGATAAAATAAAATTAAAAGCAGAGGTATCAAATTCAGTATTGAATTACTGAGTTTAGTATAGATAGATACCTATTTAATATAAAACATTTTTCTAAGTATTTTTGCTTTTGCTGATGTAGCACAAGATTGCATTGGCACAGTTAACTTCAAACTCAAAGAATATGAGTTTGTAGTGATAGTTTGCTACTTCGTGGTAGCTAGCATTGGTAAATATTTAATGCAATGCCATTTACGAGTAAACAGATTATATTAAGTATCTCTATCATTTTTCATGCCTGAAGTAGATTATTCTTCTTGTAGTGGTCAGATAACTTAGAAACCTTTACAAGTTTGGGACTACAGTTCATAATTCCTAAAAAAAAAATGTATGTTTTATTTTCAAAAATTTTTTTTCTTAACTTCTTAAATGTCTTGTCAGGTTCATGTAGTCACTGCTCCAGAAGAGTCAGCTAACAAATACTCTATAAACCAAGTAAGTCTGTATGAAAAATTCTGAGTGGTTGATCCCTTTATTTGATTTAAATGTTTCCTTTTAAACATGGCGTGATAAAGTTGACCAGTGCAGTCTTCTTCCTTGCCAGAATGCACATTAAAGAAAACACATGTGAACTAATCTCCACTATCATAACAAACAGAAGGAAAGAATATTTACTTTGTAAAGGAAATAAGTACAGTGTCATTTGCAGTATGGCAATATTTATCTTGAAGCTGAATGTAAATACTTTGAAAATTTTTTCAGTCCGCTGGGAAGAGTATTCAAGAGCAGCTGCCATTCTAATTTTTGAAGGTTCAGAGTGCGTAGTTGTGAAGTCTTATGTGGGCAACGTAACGTCTTTGTTATGGTATCTTTCCCAACAAGCAAGGAAATCCATGTTAGTATGTTTCTAGTTTGTTTTAGGAATCCTGGTGCACTGATTGTTTTTTTCTGCTTTAATTATGTCCAAGATACCTGTCTTGCACAGCTTTGTTTCACTAGAGAAGCTGCTGTTTTACTATTTCAGGGCCCAAACCACAAGATTTAGACATTTAAAAATGTAATCACATTTATTTAAAGGGGAATTGGTGGGCTTGATTTCAGATACGTTTTGTTGTTTTATTTTTTTCTTTGAAGGTGGTTCTTCCAATGGTGGGACATAGTATCAAGTATCCCAGTAATGACGTTGGGCGATGGTACCGTGAAAGGCTTTCTAAGGATGAGCTGCAGACGTGCAAATTCAGAGTGCCTCCATTGCAGCTGAACATACCTGGATGCTACAGACCCATTTTAAAAAATGTTCAGAATCTGTCATATTTTTTGGAAGGTAGTGAAAAAGCAATTGGAATTGAAGACAACCATCTGGATGAATCAAAAGTCTCTCTTCATGTATCATTTGACCTTGATCCTTCATGTTATGCAACTGTCTGTCTGAGAGAAATAATGAAATGTGACTTTTAAGATTGCAGTTAATGAAAGATTGCAGGAATATTATACAATGGTGATATTTTATGTATAATGCCAAGAAAATAAGGGAGAATAACAGGTTCAAGCCAGAAACAGGAAAAAATCATAGATCAAGATTCATAGTGATTAGGAAAAAACCCCACTAAAATCCTTTGGCATGTTCCAAAAACATTCCAAACCTTAAATGTAAACCCTTGGATGCATTGGAATAAAGCTGTGTGTTACGCGAGGCCGGTTTAACAGAACTTAAAGGAAGTTTCATATGTGCATAGACATCTGACTTGCAAAGTTAACTCCTGGAAAAATGTTTGCAGCAAACAAATGTATCTTTTCATAAACATTTTTTTTTAAATGGTTTATACTAAATGCTGTTCAAGCAATAATGTTACAAGTTTGCAGCCTACAGGTATCTTAACTGAAAAGTTGCTGTACCAAGGTTCACTAAATAGATTGTGTTTTCATTGTGTGCAGGCACCAAGTGTTAAAAGGTAAAAATCCTGAGTCAGTGACAAGTCATCTGATACTTTATCAGACACTTGATGAATCCCCCAACTTAAATTAATGCTAAAGATTCCAGGATTAAGCAGTGCATAGCTGTAACTTAGTGCCTATTCAAGTAAGCTCATCAAGATGAGGGAGTAATTTAACATAACTGCAAAACCACGTATAATAAAACTAAAACTCTGTTTTATTGGTTACAGGATGTAGACTTTATTTCTGTTGCTGTAAAGCCTCATGGTGGCAAAAAAAATGTTAATGGAACCATCCCTGGAAAAAAACTTTTACATTTTTTTTCTTAATTAAAAAAAACCCCAAACAGTTAACTGTGATAAAATGAGTGGATTTGTGGAAAAGGGGAGAGCAGGAAATGTCATTTACCTTGACTTCAGCAAGGCTTTTGATACTGTCCCACAATATTCTTGAAGTTCGGACATTATGGTCTGGATAGGTGGACAACCACATGGGTAAAAAAAGTGATTGGATGAGGCTCGGGGGGTCATGGTTGACGGGTCGTACCCTACCTGGAGTGAGTCCCACTGGGGTCTCTCCCGGGCCCCATCCTGTTCAATGTCTTTGTCAGTGACCTGGAGGAGGGGATGGAGTTCAACCTCACCAAATTTCCAGATGGCACCAAATTAAGGGATCAAATGGATACTCTGAAGGATCAGGCTGCCACTCGGGGAACCTAGACATGCTGGAGGAACAGGCCAACAGGAACCTGGTGACATTCAGCGAGGACAAATGCAAAGCGCTACTGCTAGGAAGGAAGCCCCGCTGCAGCAGCCCAGGCTGGGGAATGGCTCTGGGGGCCCTGTGTGCAGCTGAACACAGGCCAGCTGTGTGCCCTGGCAGCAAGGATGACCAGCAGCCTCCTGGGATGTGTTAGCAGGGACACATCCAGTAGATCAAGGGAAGGGATTATGTCTCATTATTCAGCACTTGTTAGACCACATTTAACTTCTACGCCCAGTTTTGATGCCCAGCACAAGACAGACATAAAAAAACAGGAGTAAGATCAGAAAGGGCCTCCAGGCTGTTTGGGGGCTGGATCACTTGCCAGTTGAGATGCTGAAGGAACTGGGCTTCTTCAACCTGGAGAAGAGACAGCATGGGAGGCAACCAACAGCAATTCCCCAGTGCCCACAGGGAGGTTAGCAAGAAGATGGAGCCAGGCTCTTCATAGTGATGCACAGCAGGAGAACAAGAAACAATGAGCGTAAATTGAAATGAGAGATTCAGATTGGTTCTTCCCCCGTTGGGAGAGCCAGGCAGTGGAACAGGCTGCCCAGAGGCTGTGCGGTCTCCACCTGAGGAGGTTTCCAAGACTCAACAGGATAAAGCTCTGAGCAACCTGGTCTGGGCTCAGAGGCAACTCTGTTTTGTGGAGGCAGATGGACTAGAGAACGGAGACCTCTTGCAACCTGGATTGCCCTGTTACCCTAAGCAAAGCATTGCAAGTGTTTATTCAATCTGTAGATGGCAGTGTGACTTAAAACTAAAATGGAAACGCTACTCATTTTTACTGAGAATTAGTAATATAAACTGAATTCTGTTTATGGCATCAGTCTTTCAGTTGTTGCTAACAGCTGAGTAAGATAAATCTCCCAAGGCTGATAAATAGACCTAGAATTATAGGAGTAGGAAAAATAGAAATGTAATTCACATTATTTCAGTGCCCATATAAAGCGGCGTAGCAATGAAGGATCCAGATAATTCACTGCCTAAAATATGAGGATTACTCTGTAAGTCTGTATAAGGAATTCAAAATTTGACCCTTATCTTTGATATGGGAAAATAGACTGTCATGTAAACAATAGCTACAAAGCCACTGTAAGCGACTTACAATGCTTGCTCTATTACAGCGCTTACTCTATGCCTCAACGTTATGGTATACAGCCAAACTGATTGAAAAATCCATTTACTTGCCACAACCCATCTGAGACAGCTTTGTTCCTGTCTTAGCTTTTCAGTATCACCTCTTCTGTCTTCCACATGCCCTTAAAAATATCCCTCTTCTGGAAAATTATTTTTAACTCAAGTCATTTTGGTACAGCACAGCTCAAAACCAGTTGTCCTGTCACTGCTGACATGGTAAAGTGCTCCAGTGCAGACAGCAAGCTGCATGCAGTGACAATGACCAGAAGAAATAAATTAGCACTAAAGTTCCATTTAGAGATACTACAGTGGTCGTCTTCGATGTGGCTCAATACAGCCTGGAAAACCATCTCATCACATAGAAGGTTTGAATACATAGAGTATTAGAAGTTGAGCCTTAATTTGGAAGAACACAAAAGGTCAGATTAAAAGGTTTTTGACTGAAAGGCATGCTATTTTAATATAAAAGATCAGAAGATGGTGTTAAAAGAGTTCCCCTATAATCATTTTAGGTCCATTTGTCAGTACTTCTATTGAACACTAAAACGACTAATCTTCTTAAGCAAATCATTCTTTCAGCAACTTTAAGGTGAAAGAGCTAATTATGTGTGTCCATGGGTTAAATTCCTATAGTAGAAATGTTCTACTAGGGAAAAGTCAGGTTAGCTATTAGAGTGTTTATATGATAAACATCCTTCTTATTCCAGTGGGCATTTATTTGGAATTCATTCTCTTAATCTTAGCAGCTATTTTGCAGGATTATGTACAGGAACAGTTGAATTCGGAGAGTTTTGCATGAGTGCAATACTCAGCTTCCTCAGTATAATCTATATAAGCGAAACATCTGTGCCCCTACGTTTAGAGAAGATAATCATTCTGCACTGATGTGAGTTTAAGGAAAAGACTGGTGTGTTAGTTATCTCTCATCTAAGTATTTCTATTGCTACCATCCTTTTCTGATAAGCCTTAAAGCACTTTGCTAATACTAATGAAGACAGGTCTCTGATTCTGTTTCTAACAAAAGGGGTTTTAAGTTCAGTGGCCAGTTGATTTTTTTCAGCACAGATGATAGATAATTGGGCACTTGAATGGGAAAAATGCAAATGTTCTTAATCTGTGAAATCCTGTTACTTTTAATTCATTACAAATTTGACAACCGGTATTATCCTTAATGAGAATCTACAAATTTTCAGATCTTTCAGAAGGATGTGGCTTAAAATTACATTCCTGTGATAAAGGCAGCTCAGGAGCCAGGTAGATGTGTGATTATTGGCCCAGCTCACTTATTAAAAGTCCATTAACTCCTCTCTTAGTGTCAGTGCCTGTCAGCTGGTGATTTGACCTCTCACACCTAGCTGATGAGCACAAACCTCTCTTCCTTTCTCTTGCAGAACTTCTACCCATAATAAAAGCTCAAGGGAACAAGCTGAGAAGCTGTTAACGCTTTCCTTTCTTTCAGTCCGTAGTCACGCCTTGCAGCCCACTGGGTCAGATCTAGATTCCTTTTAGAGGAAATGAACCCAGAAAGTGAGCTCCAGCTGCATGCCAAGCACACCCTGCGTCCCAAGGGAGCAACAAGGATCCAAGTGAGAGGCTGGTCGTTTGGACAGCTTCGAACCCTGTACATGGGTGTGTTCTGTTGTGGAGCCTAGGCAACGTTTAGCCCAAAGTAAAACCACTGAACCGCATGTTGTGTAAGTACAGGGCTTCAGTGCTCTAGTACCTTCATCTGTTTCTGTCATACCAAAAAGCTAAGTCGTGTAGACATTGTCTGAGAACACAAGGCAGACAGAATCAATGAAATCAGACATTTGCACCTTCTGAAGGTACATCGTTCTGCTCAGCAGAAGTCAGAATCTTATATTACAGCAGTTTAAATGTGTTTTCAGCTTATACACAAATGCTCCTACCTGCTTAGAACAGTAAGGTTTTTAATTAGCTTTAGAAATGACTGATTTAAAACATTGATTCTGTCTGTCTTTCAGAATGTTCTTGCACTTCAAAACCCAGGACATCCTCTCCCACTCCCAGCGAAAGACACTTTGTCTTTTTACCTTCACATCTCTGTTCACATCTCTACTGAAATCTTTAATATCTGTGTTGAGCTCATGAGCCAAACTTCAGAACTCTGCGTAAGAAGAACTGTAGTAACACATGGTCAAACCATTCACTTGTGAAAGCACGTCAGGAACCATTTAGTGATTTTTGTATTGATATTATATAGAAACAAATACGTAGGATTAAACTGGAGTTGGATTTAGCATTTTACAACTGCAATGGTTTGGATCAAGGCTCAGTCTTGTACCTTATCTTGTCTGCAATGGTTCCTGTAAGTGGACATGTAGGAGAGAGTAAAGCAAGGGAAGCATATGTGATATTTATCCTCCAACTAGTTTCAGTTCAGGTGATTTCCTGAGCCTGAGTGGTTTTGCCATTTAATAACTCTTAATGGATTTCTTCCCCAAGTATTTCTCATCTTTCCTTGAAGATGTTCAACCTCTTCCCAGAGTTCCATGTTTGCTACCTGTTGTATGAAGATCCACCTTTTTCTATTTTTTTTTTAAACTGCCTCCTTCTGACTTCATTTGATGATCCTTGGTTCTTGTGTATTTCAATACAAGGGACAGTAAAGACTTCATACCTATCCATCCTCTTGGTACCCAGCCATTTGTATGCTTCCCGCA